AACAACTGTTCTGCAAGCTCTTTTTGCGTTTGTGCCGAATTCTCAGCGAGCAGTTGTTCCAAATCATCGTTGTTGCGCTTCCGAGGGCCTCCAGGGCGTTGTTTGTCGATTAGACTAAAATCACCGCTTTTAAACCGCTTAAACCAAAATGCGCACACATCGTACGATACAACACCTTCGCCGAGAAAGGAGCAAATCGATTCGCACGCTTGTAGCATTTTTTCCTTGCTCGAATTCGTAAAGAATGCAGTGTCGGATATGCACCTTATCTGTTGCCATTTTCGACTGTACTGAACTGAATACTTTTGAAGGTTACGTTGGGCCTTTCGCCAAACTATATGTTCTTTTTAATAGTTATATGTCAACATTGTATAAACACAAAAGAGCGGGAAAATCTATTCAATTTAAAATTGATTTCATAACTGCTTAAAATAATTTGGATTATTCATTTGTACACCTAATACATTAGTTTATGATGTCATGTATATTGGTCAATCTGTTACATACATCAAAGTATAAAATTGAACGTTTCGGTCATCTTGTGTGACCCTCTTCAGCAATGCGAATACAATACGTGAAACATTTAATATAATAACTTGTTCGTACATCGGTGAGTCATGTCAAATGACGGCTTAACGAAAAATACGCACGACGTGTGGACGATAATAATAATAATGTACTGCACGACAGTCGTGACAACCAAGTTGTTTAATCAATTTAATTTGTTTAATCATTTGTTTCATCAACAACTTGGTTGTCGCGACTGTCGTGCACTACATTAACATGAAAAGTATTAATATTCTGTAATTTGTTATTAAATATGACAGAAAGACGAAAATATAACAAAGCAAGAATTCAAATACCAAAACTGATGTACGAGGGATATAACTATCATTGTAACAGCTCCACGGAGATACAAAGTATGTACATAGGAGAAGTTTTATCGTATCTGCTATCGCGCGTTTATTGTACATCTTAATTATAAATAATTTCCTCGCAGATATTACGAATGCAGTTTCCACAAAGACAAGGAAATAAACTGTACAGCCCGACTAATTATAAAAAATGGAGTATATAGAACAACTGGGAGACATGAACGTCACGCAAAACCAATTAACGAATTAAGCGAAATAAAAAAAGAAATAGAAAAATCATCATCGTATGAAACAACAAGAATTATAAAAAAAAATAATTTCAAAGTGAGTAAGAAGCGATGAAGTAGATAATAGTAAATACTGTTAGAAATATAAATAACTAATATTTATAATTCTTAATTTCTGCATAGGTACGATCATTTGCTGCACGAAAGTAACATAACAAACATTGAAAAAAGTATTTTTAGACAGAAAAAAGAAATATTGGACAGATTCCTCGAAATTTAAGTGAATTACAGTGTTGCCTTCAAACGGATAATTGGAGGCAATTACTGAAGTTAGACGCAGCGAAAGACTTTAGTGTTCATTTCAGCATACAACAAAATGAAACAAAAGCCATAATTTTTATTAACGAAATTTTGATATCAAAAATTGTTAGGGATGATTCTCGTGTATAGCAATACGCACATCATAGCGGTAGCGTCGCATGATATAATTGTCTCTAGGTATATGTAAGTACTCCGATATGGGCGACCTTCTATGTCCTCGGGAAAAAATGGAAAAGATTTGAACAGACCTGATCAGATCAAATCAGATCAAATTCGCTTATATCTGATTCGATCAAAATATTGGCCCTATCTGATCAGATTTAATCAGACATGAGTAGATCTGATCCGGTCCTAGCGGACGAGGTCAGATAGGATAAGAATAATTAATCTATATCTGATCAGATCCACTCAGACATGAGGACATCTAATCTGATCCTGGCGGACGAGGTCAGACATGACAAGAATAATCTGTATTTGCTCGGATCCAATCAGACATGAGTAGTCTGGAGGTCGATCATGAATTTTTTCACACGTGAAGAGTGAAAAACTTCTCCATTGCCTATTTTTTCTAGCGAAGGACATAGAAGAAGAAGGCAATGGAGAAATTTGTCACTTTTTACGTGTGGAAAAATATTCCTAATCGACCCCCTGATCGGATCCTAGCGGACATATGGCCACCCTTACGAAAAATACACTAGGTACAATTATAGGGTTTTTCCGAGTGTATAAATTTAACATTATATGATAAATGACGGTATAACTATTTAGTAACATTTTTTAATTTCTTGAAATTAAATTTTACATGAAATCATAATAATTAATGCGGTATCTTGTTGTCTTTCCTTAAAAATATTAATTAATTTTTATAACTATAATTTTAGTATTTAGTGAAAAATACGAAAAAATAATGTTAAAGTGAATATAAAATAATATTTTTAAAGAAAACCGTTAAAATTCCGCATTAATTATCATGTTTTCTTATATGATTTCACTTTTCAAGAAATTAAAAATACAAATAGTAACATTATTTACCGAATAATAATTATTTAAGGAAAACCATATTTATAATGTACTTTTTATAAGGGGTAGACACGATGCAAATAATCCAGGTTAGATCATATATGCAGATATAATAAAATAATTAATAAAATATATATAAGTAACAATTTAATATTATTTATTACTTATACTCTAATGTATATGTTTTCATGGTGTATCATACATATAATACTCGGTATTACACAAAATCACAGATAAAATGTTTGTATAAAAGTAATATCGTTGAATTTTTCACGGAACGATTGATGGGAAGAAACTTAACGTAATTCCTAAAATTATAAATGACAAAAATTAGATTTAGAAAATAACGGACTTTGTCGCACCGTGCAACGCCAGAGAGCACTTTAAGTCAATATTAAAAATCACGAATAACGAAAATAAATATAATACAGTAAATCTGACCTTTGCTTCGTAAAACCAAACAGAAAAATAAAAGGTAAATGTCCTTAAGTCATCAACACCGACTGTAATAAGTATTGTGGCGATCCTGGGAAGTTATCTGGGTGTTAACTAGAGCGTTGAATGTTCCTTAAGCTCTATATCCGCGCTATCCTTTAACTAAGTTGGAGCTGTGAATAGTCGAATAATATTAATTCAATTGGTTATAAACATCGCATCAGCGTTCGCAACGTCTCAGTATGACTGAAGTCACACTTCGACGTCACAGCGATCGCCGCAACGATCTTCAATGTAGAGAAGTTGATTGAGTACGTCACAACTTTAAGCCATGACGATATCAAATTATAATTGAGAATGGACATCACGGTTGTAAGCCGTGATGATCTCAAGGAGTGCAGTTTCCTATGTGCGTCACGGCTGCGAACCGCGATGAATCTCAGAGGATGCAGTTGCCTGCGTGCGTCGCGGCTAAGAGCCGCGACGAGTCTCAGAGTATGCAATTACTTGCTTGCGTGCGTTGCGAAAGCGAGATGCGACGAGTCTCAGATGTGCAGTTGCCTGCGTGCGTCGCAGTCGCTATCCGCAACGTTTCTCAAAGTTGAAAAGAGAGAGAGAAAGTACCTTCTGGAAATCCAGACGATCCATCTGTATGGCCAGCATCAATCTATCAGAGCCAACAACAAGCAACCCCCGATAAAATCGCGGGGTGCGCACCTCCCTCGTCCAGAAGAATCTGGTGTGTAAAGGTTGTTCTACATTAAGTTGCAAGCAATCGCTGGCACGTCCATATTGTCGCAAGTCGCAAGAAATTTGCGATTTGAACTTCTACATTGCAGTCGTAAAGTCACAGCCAATTAAAGAAGAGAATGTTGCGACATCCACGAAGGTTAATCACGGTTCAATGAGATATACTGTTTCATGAGAAAAGGCATCTGAAAATGGAAGTAGAAGTAGAACAATACCGGCGTTTTATATTTTTATTATCTTGTAGTGTGTTTTTGTGCTACATGAGTGTATATATAAAGACGAAAAGAAGACGCAAGAGAAGATGGTGGGTTCGCCCCCTAAACAATATTGAAAGACATCATAATGTGGGTTTTCACATGAATTTATTCAAAGAGATGAGACAAACGGATCATGAACAATTCTTCATGTATACACGTATGTGGCCGCATATGTTCAACGATCTTTTAACTCGAGTTCGTCCATTTCTGGAAAAAAGTGGCCCACGGCGTCCGCACTCTGTAGAATTAAAGTTGGCTTTGACTTTATCGTAAGTAAAGTTAGTGTTGTGTTCCTCGTCGCCAATGTATTATGTATGAGTGTATCACGTCTCCTTGTCTTCTGGCCACGAGACGTATGAGGTGGATAAGTAAAGGAGGTACCGTACGTATAACACACTTGCTTTATTATATAGCGGTATAAGTGTAAGCGGTATAAGTATAAGCCGCCGGGAACGCTGAGACAAGATCTCCAGCGTGGTCGAGGAGAGAGGATCTACTGACTCCCTCTCCAGCGCGCTCCCTACCTAACCACTGCGCACGTATCGTGCGCAGGTATCACTGCGCACATCCTCGGATGCGCGCATAGTAACGCGCTCACACAACACTCCCCTTACTAATGAATACAAAACTTGGGAGTATCGTGTGGTTTCTAATCAATCTCAAAATTCTTTAAAACCACGTAATCCTTTAGGTACAACGGAGGCTTTCTTTCCCGTGTGGGCCTTGTAATGTTCGGAGCCTCCATCGTCACGCTCTTTGCAATCTCTGGTGAAGGTACTGGCGTTGAAGTAGTCAACGGCCTTGTCGTAGATGCTCTCGGAGAAAACTCGGTCTCCTGTCTTACTGGACTCGAACACGTAGTATCTGGCCTTTCGGAAGCCGTAATAGTTGAAAATGATGGCGTCGTAATCGTCATCGAACTATCATTGGTATTGTTTTCTACGACCTGACTAGACTCGTTATTTGTACCTGATGTACACGCATCTGCACTAACTATCGTTGTTGAACGATCTGTACTTGTAACGCTCGGAGGGCCTGAATAACTAAAATCATCCTCTTCTTGCTCAATTCTAGTCGCTTCGCCTATCTTACGCATTTGGTTGGCGTGGCGCTTCCATACGCGTCCATCATCTAACTGTACTTTGTAATGTAATAAACCTAATTTTTGTAATACAGTACCTGATAACCATCTCTCGTTACCAGCATAATTACGACAACTGACCCTCTTTCCCTCCTCAAAAGAAATTGGCGTACTTCCTGCCATGTAGTTATTTCCTGGGAATTTGGTCGATGGTCGTAACAAATCCAATCTTGTATGCAATTTTCGTAGAAATAAAAGTTCCGCTGGCGTTTTTCCCGTAGCCGCATGTATCGTAGTTCTATACTGTAGTAAAATTCTAGGCACTAATGTTTGTACATTTGAGGTATTCGCACGCATTTTCTTTAACGCATTTTTAAAAATTTGAACATATCGTTCCGCTTGGCCATTGGTCGCAGGGTGATAGGGCGCTGTTAGCTTCTGAGCGATCCCATTCCTTTGTAAGAAATCCCTAAATTCCTTAGATATGAACGTCCTACCATTGTCTGAGACAATACAACTTGGTAAACCGAACGTAGCAAAGATTTGCCGACATAGATTTATCGTTGTACGTGCTGTCATATCCTTAACTATGTGCACTTCTGGCCACTTAGAAAAGGCGTCGACTAAAATGAAAAAGTAATGACCTAAGAAAGGTCCCGCAAAATCAATGTGTACCCTCTCGAATGGTACTGTACACGGTTCCCAGATGTGTGTAACTTTAGTAGGTTCATTCCTGAATGCATTACAATCATTACAATTCGCGACCAATTTCTCGATATCGTTATCGATTTTATACCACCAAACGTGACTTCTCGCTAAATGCTTCATTCGCATCACTCCAAAATGACCTGTATGTAGTTCCTGTAAGACTTTATTTTGTAATTTGTAAGGAATAACTACTCTATATCCTCTGGAAATGATATCATCCTGTAATGTAAACTCATGTATGCTAATTAAATGAAAAGTTTCATTTCCTCTTGTATTTTTACCTGTTTTTAATGCCTG